CACGCGTTACAGTATGCTCCTATTCTTTTTATGCTCAGCTACTAAGATTTCCCTTCAGTGTTAAAATTCCATATAAATATTCAATACTACAACGGGCACAGTAAAGACGTTTACTATAAATCTTTCTACGACAGACCAACGGACCACGAGTGCCCCTGTCGGTCAACCAATCACGTACCGCGATACCGCGCGTCATTGTGCGTCACAATGCGCGACGCCGTAGCCAATTACCTCTGGTACGTGTCTGTACCACGCACTTTGAATGGCTGCATCTGTAAGTAGTCTGAACCTTGTTTTTTTTAGCATCTTTTCTGCTTTTAAAGGAAATTTTCATTTCTGAATCTCTGAATTCTGATCCTTTATTGCTGAATCCTCAGTCTAAAGGCAGTTTTGGAGATAGAGTTCCATTTACTTTTGGGCAATCAAGGGTGTGAAGAAGGAAGATTTAGACCTGAGTCATATTCTCCCAATTTTGGACACAGGGTTACCATACTGGGTTTCAGGGACGGTAAAATACTATTCCTGAAATTCCTTTTTTTTTTGTAAATAGCATTATATTTAACATTGTATGTGTGTGATATTTTGTCCTTTAGTTTGTGTTATTTTAATAAATATGTGTTTGACCAGAGCTGTGCCAGAGAATAAAGAACTCAGATGTCTCAACTTCAACAGCTTGGCATTTGGTATTTAATTATTTACTTTAATTATTTTATATCCCACTCTATTTTCTTTCTAACCCCTATTTATAACAATGTTTACTATTACAAATCTTTATGATGTGTATACATCATTTGTAATTCAGCAAAATGGGACATCATTGGAAAGGATTGAATACTTTTGCAAGGCACTCTATTTTTTAGAATGCTGAAGTCAAATTGTATTTACAGATCTGTATCAAACTCAAATCTCTAAATGGAAAAATAAATACCTTAAAGTCAGACTTCTGGAATTGATTTGCATATGTGTTTGGTTTATGAAAAACCAATAATGTCCTAAAATATAAAGAAAAAACAAGTTAGTATAATTAATTTACATTTTATACACCAGATACAATTCCAAATTGCTACAGTACAGTATTTTAATTCAGTTAGCCAACATCTATTACGTTTGCCCACAGGAGAAAACAAAAATCCTCATGTTCAAAGTTGAGAGTAATTATTATGTACAGTACATAAAGTACTATTTAGCTACTATATTTGAAATCAAGATGGGGAGGTGAATTATCACAGCAGAACTAAGAAACTAAATAACTGATTTTGTTATAAACAGACAATGGTTTTGTATCTTCTTTATTAAATGCTTAAGATACATTTTTTTCTAGATTTTTTGGGGATGAACATTACTGTTACAATTTCACATATGGATAAGCTTGCATCTCTGCTTACATCTCTGTTGCTTCCCTGGAGGATTTAAGTACCTAGGCATTTTGAACATAGGGCCCTAAAACGTAAAAAATGAAGCTTATCTGAAATGACAAAACAATGGACAAAATAAAAGGCAATGACATGTCATATATGAAATTTCTTAAAATTTGGCTAGCTGTTACAGTTAACTGTTAAAAATATTTAAACATTTGTTTTCAGACGTAAGTGATTTTGGGTGTGTGCCATTTAGATACTGTACCAATCAACAAATAAAGTAAGAGGCAAAATTTCAAATGCATTGTCATGGGCCTTTTATGCTATTTAAATCTGAGTTCTCAGTTATGTACAGTAATTGAAAACTAATTGAATAATAGCAGTGAATTAAACATTAAGTTTTATCAGTTATGTACGTATTGGAGGTTTCTTTTAAATATTTAATCTTGAAACTTTTAACTTGAAATATTCAACTTTTAAGTAGAAGAAAATGTTGAAATGTTCAAATTAATCAACTTATCGTTTTAATAAATTAATTGTCCATGTAAATTACAAAGAGCTTGGCTAAAACAAAAATCATCTGGTGCTACGGTAGCACAGTGAAATTTGGAATTTATACTCCATTCTAGTCAATACTCACCAGTACTCCATCACTTCGACATAATGGAGTATACAACTAAGTCCTAAGCATTCCTGACATCACTTCTTCACAATTCTTATTATGTATAAATACAGTATTAAACAGTATTATATTTTCCTTGCATTTGCCTTTTGTATCCCTACTCCACTGCATCTCCACCTTTGCAGATCTATTAAAACCCCCAATGCAATAGGAAAAAAATACATTCAATAGAATGAGCCAGAAATTGGATAATGTGAGTTGCTTAAAACAATTTAACTACAATCATAATCGTAGTGCACAGAACATTGTCATATTTGTAATAAAAATATGTCCAGAAAACACATTGCCTTTCTTTGGAGGTATAAATAAATCTGGGGGGGAAGCAGTGTATGTAGTGTCCTTAATGATTTTGTTCATAAACATCTCACACAAAACATTTATCATGTAGTGAGGTTAGTATTAAAATTACTAAGTCGAGGCCCAGATAGGCAAGTCTTACTGGAAGCACTTGAAGAAGTCCTCAAATTCAATCCATGTTTCCTGAAGGACAGGTTTCTCTGATACGATTTCTTCTTGTGATCTGAGCATTCCATGGCTAGAATCTGTGGTGTGTTCTGTCACATGAGCTGCATTAGAGGTCTTGTGATCTGTGTAACATGTGCACAGCAGTTTAGTGAAAAATAAAAAATAAAGATAACCTCCTAAAAGAAGTTTTTAAAACCCTGCATTTAAAATGAAATAGTTTTCACTAATAGTTTTCACTATTTCAAAGAGAGTGACCGAGGAACTTCTGGAATCCCCACTTCCGGACAGTGATTCCTGCTCTGTCTACTAAAACCAATATTATAGCCGAGTATGAACTGCACTTTTTGAGGGCCAACCTGTGATGGAGCAACATTCTATACAGAGGGATTATCTTTGTTATTACTAAGCAGTAAAGAAACTGAGCTCTGGACCTTTAATCGACTTAAGCTTGTAAATACCTTAACCTAATGAATAAACATAAATCTTTAAACATTTTATGAAATAGTGCGAGGAAAAAATGAAATGTGTGACGCACTTGAGACATAAATCTACAGACTAACAAATGGTTGGAATTAACCTTTTTATAGATGTTCCAGCACTTTCATTAGACATGTACTGTACCTGTATATAATACATTTTACAAGTTCCAAAATATAATGAACCAACTCTCAACAAATATTTTTCTGTTAAAATGAGTATCAAAAATGCACTTGTTTTAGTGTGGTTATTTCATACTATCCAAACTACCATGTTGGGGGACAAACTTGTATATATCCAAGCAAGCAAACTTTACTGTTGGTGCTACACAAGCCAATGTTTTTTTTCTTACTGTATATCACTGATATTTTTCTGCCTATTCTACAGTCAGAGACACAACCCAATGCTTTAAACTTCACTTTGAGACATGATGTCACAAGTTAGCAATGAGAGGCAATTATGTCACAAAATGCTGTTAATAAAGCTCTTTTCATGGAAAATCTTCAAAAAATAATACACATAAAGCATAAAAAATAAAAACAAAGAGAAGATCAAATTAATTCAGAAATGTCATTGCAAAGACAATTTTAAAGTCCAGGATAAGGAACAGATAAGAGCCTGGCATCATGGGACTCAAAGTTACATGACGTTACATTAATGTGAGGATAAGACAAGACATTCAATGTCTTGAAAGTCAAACATAAGGGTTTAAATCAGCATGATACTAAACAGAATGCCAATACTATGATAAGGAGTAATACAAACATCAGATTGTGTCCTAGTAAAGACTATTGCTTTTCACCTTTGAACATACTGAAGTTTTTTTTTCCGGAAATCCCAGAAAGCAGATCATTATAGTAATTCGGTCTGGATGACCCATTGTGTCTGTATCAGACACTGACAGAACAGGACACTAATGGGAACTTTCCTAAAGAAAGATATTCCATTCATGAGGTTTATCCTTTGGTAGAAATATCTCCTTGCATTTTCAGTGAAGCGGAAACATGTTGCTCTGGGAAAAGAATGTATTACAATCCTACCAGAACAATTATGGAATGTGGTTTACATAATGCTGTTTGTAGGTGTAACAAGGTTCCTTTCCAGACGTTGGTAATATGGACCTGTGGTGATCACTGACTCATTTGACACATCTTATGGAATTGGTTCATGTGGGTAGCTGCGTCAGCATGTGTAGTCTACAAAGGAACAAGTAATAGGCTTATTCCATGCTGAAAACAGAAGAGAGAAAACACAACGTTTGAGCTCACACCTGAAGAAGGCTCCACTGCCGAAATGTTGTGTTTTCTTTCTTCTCTTTTCAGCATGGAATAAACCTATTACTTGTTCCTTTACATCTTATGGAAGATAGAAAGTCAACAATAGGGTCTCTTGGAAATAATTATTCTTCTTCAAAAGCAGTTGATATCGTAAAAGAAAAACGTTTTTATCCCCTTAGGAGGAAGAAGAAAAAAAATGTGTGCTTTAGCTATAGTGTTTGGTGAGGCTCTGCAATGTTCACTGAACATCCGTGTTAGCATTTCATATATTGTAGTTGTGTCAATTAAGGGGAGCAGCTGCCAGCAATTATATTATTATAGCATGATCACGCAGCTGTCAGGGAGACGATGACTGAGCCAAATTATTTGCCTTGGTATGCTCTCAAGTGGGGATCAGCAGACTTTAGGCATGGAAAAATGTTCGCTCTGTCACATAGGAAAAACCACAGATCTCATTGTCCAACTGTCATATTTAAATCAAAACATCAGTTATTTCATGGTCATTATTTTCCTTAACACTTTCAATACTTTTCTAATTCTAATACCTAATTCTTTCTCAGAGAATGTGTATTGATACTGTATATTCCAATAATTGTAACAATTTTGAAGATCATAATCACAAATAATGTGTTTAGTATGAAGGCCAAACAACGGTCTACAATCTTCACACTGAAAGTTGTATCTGAAAAAAAATTCATACATATTATATACAGCATATAAGTAGTTTCTGGTCCTGGTCATGGGAATCTACAAACCTTCCGGTTTTCATTCCAGGCCTTTTCCAGATCTTTACTTTATTGAATCCATAACTGAACTAAGAACTTTCCTGGTTGGAACTGCTGCAAATTTGTTTTGTTTTATTAAAACAAATGAAGATCTAAAGATAGTTATGGAATGCAATAATTAAAAGGTAATGGCATCTAATTAATCTTATTACATCAAATGAAGATTTAAATATGTAACTAAAAGCTCAGCTGGAATGCAAACTGGTGGATGTGTGGGTCTCCAGATCCAGAGTTGGGCACCTCTGCCTTATATCTCTCTTGTAAACATCCATCCTTTTTCTAACCCCTTTGTCTAATACAGTGTTGCAGGGGATTTCTAGAATTTCCAGAAAGTAACAGGAACAAGAGAGAATAAACACTGGATGGGACACCAGGCCATCACAAATATACACACACGTACACCAGGACCAATTTCTCCCAGAAGCCATTTTACCTACCAGTGTCTTTTTGGACTTTGGGAGGAAATTGCAGCACCTGGTGAAAACCCATGCAAAAATGGGGAGAACATACACACTCCACACAGAGAGCACTGCAGGAATTGATTCCAGGGCCCCAGCATGGCAAGAACACAATGCTAACCCTTACACTATGGTGACAAGAAGAGAGTCTGTAACAAGCCCCATCTAGGAAAGGAGATTGTAGCTGAGAAGTTTAAATTCCATGGAGTGAAACAGGGCAGTAGCAAAGAGGCACATAAAAGTCTTAGTTCTGAAACCTTAATATCCAGAAAACCAAAAAGAAGAGTGTTACCCATACTTACATACGTACTGTACTTAGTCGCACCCAAAGCATAATTCATGCTGATGATAGGAGTCAGGTGGCATATGGTGTGAGGGTTGTGAGAAGTGCGTAATTCCATTAAGGCTGGTAATAAAATGGGTAACACCTCATACATCAGTGATGTACTGTAGAATTAGGGCATAATATGGTCTGGGACAGGAGAGGGTACAATGAGGCGGTTAACTCAAAGTTAACTAAGGAGTATCTTTACTCAGTATGCTTGACATAGCTGTAGTGAAAATCAATAAGACAAAGAGAGTCATCACCCACTGGCCCATAAAAAGCAGGACTGACGTTTCTTTTCCCCAGATTTCTTCCCTGTTAGGGTATTTGGATAAACGTCATTCTTGAATTTCTTAATAAATATAACAGGAAAGTGAATCTGACCTAAAATTTCCATTTATTCCTATTTCTTTGTGTTCATTATTTGGTTGACACTCCGATTTCCTAACATTTGCTTGAAATAATATTTCTACACAGACTTTGAAATTTAATTGGCACTGGGGTACCTACATTGTAACATTGGACTATGTAACACTGTAGGTTACATTTTAAATATGCAATTAATTGCATTTTGATGCACTATGCAAGTGTCTTATTTTCCACTATCATAAGTATTACAAGGACTACTCCTTTCTCTTTTTCAACTTGGAGAAACAAAGGAATTTCTAGATTTTTAATAAGGATGGTCTTCAAATATTCTAGAACTTGCAATCACATTGTAAGTTTACTTTTTTCTTTTTATGACATTTTAAATGTGTGCCTGTGATGTCCCCTGGAGTGTAAGACTATACAAATGAATGTTAAATTGCTCTAAGGGGCAAATTATTAGGATTCTTCTAGTCTTCATGACTTCATGCAAACCCTTAGCAGTGTTTTTTTTTTAAACTGGGAATGGAATGTTGCTGTTAAAGGTTTTTCTTAGGACAACATTAAGCTACCAAAATCCTTCATCACTGAGTAATCTACAGTACTTATAGTGCCTTGTGAAATCATTCAGATCTTTCAATAGTGTCCTATTTTGTGAAATTATAAAATGATGCATACACAACTTAATATTTCATTCAAAATCTGAATACTCAAACCTGAAAAATTCTAAAGGTAAGATAAGTTACAGTAAATGTCAGCAAAAACTAAATAAAAAAAATAAAATATGCTCACCGTATATGTATTCATACATGTGAACTCAATATTTGGTTAAATTGCCTTTAGCATTAATTACAGGCACACGTCTTTAAGGGTAAATCTTAGTGTTTCCCATTCTTCTTTGGAAATTATCAAGTTCTCTCAGGCTACTTGGGGATCACTTATGAACAGCAGTTTTCAAGTCTTTCTACAGATTCTCAATAGGATTACAATTAGGACTTTGACTGAGCCACTCAAGGGCATTTGCTTTCTTATTCTTAAATCACCCCAGTGTAGCTTTGGCCTTGTGCTTTCGATCATTATCACTCTGAAAGGTGATTTTTTGTCCACGTTTTAGGCCTGAAGCACCTTTTCCTCTAAGATTTTTAAAAAAGCCATTTTTTTGCCCCATCACCTACTGTATGTAACTATTAGTCTTGATAAGCTTCCAGTCCTTGCTGATAAGAAGCATAACTCAGTGGTGTTGACTGAATGTTGTACTTTGTTTCTTTTGCAACAGATGTAATGCTTAGCATTTAAACCAATAAATTCCAGTATTGTCTTGTTTGACCACATCACCTGCCACATTTGCAGTATCAATTAGGTGCTTTGTTGCAAACACCATTCAGAAGTTGAGATGTTTATTTTCCCTTTCCAAGCAGCCCTGTGGAATAACGGGAGTGATGGGCATATTGTTGACGCATGGACATTTTCTCTCACATTAGCCACTGACCTCTGTAACTCTGTTGCCCTTGGCTTCATGGTGGGCTCCCTAACCAGCTTCCTCCTTGACCAGATATTCAGTTTGGTGGGACAGCCTAAGCTAGACAGTGTCTGGGTGAGTTCTAGTACTTAATGATTGAAAATAGATATTAAGGGTCTTTTAATGCTTTTATACCTGTTTCCTTATCTATACCTTTATACAGCTTTATCCATGAGTTGTTTTGAAAGTTCTATATTCTTCTTGGTTGAATTTTTGCTTGAAATTAACTTTTTACTTGAGGGATCCTATCAAGATAGATGTACTTATTTGGCAATTGTGTGAACCACTGTTATTGCACAGATATAGAGGCCGCCCAACTAATTCTATAGCTTGTTAAGGTAATTTTGTGCACCTAAATTAATTTAGTGGGAGAACAAAGTGCTGGGAGAGAGGAGGAGTGAGAGAGCAGGGGACAGAAAGAGAGGCCAATCAAGAGGTGTGAAGTCAGAATAGGTATAGAGAGGTGTGAAATGAAACTTCCAATGAATGGAGAAAATTTAGAAGAAGAGTAGTCTGTCGTTAAGAGAAGGGGGAAGGTGTGATCCTAGCTGTAGGATAATTTTGGTTTCTGTCCCCTGCTCCCGCCTCTCGCTCCTCCTCTCTCCCAGCCTTTGTTCTCCCGCTACATTACCTTTGCTTACTGTCTTGTCTTTCTCACACCTGAAGAAGGCTCCAGGACCAAAATGTTGTGTTTTCTTTCTTCTTTTTTTCAGCATGGAATAAACCTATTACTTGTTCCTTTGCAGCCTATGCATGCTGATGCAGCTACCCACCTGAACTATATATAAATGTGTAGCGCCAATGCTTGTTAATAAGACGGAATTAAGTGTTGCTGTGCTTTCCCAAATGATGCCCCATCTCTCTCTTCATCTCTGTGGGATGGGATGCCCATGGAACTTTCAGCCAATGAATGAGCTGAAGTTCCTCCAGGTAAAAACAGGCAACAGAGAGCCTGGAGAAGGAGGACAATTCTAAAGACTTTCTAAAGAAGAATCTCTAAGGAGAATTCCAGGGGTGCGAGACAATTCCAGAGCAGGACGGCCCAGGAGCAGAAGGCTCCCAAGGGCAGGACATTCTCGCAGCGCCTCCTGACCATCCTGAGACTCAGCCCGGACAACCACGGAATGGCCAGTGTGTCAGAGTGCCAGAACTTTCCTTTGTTCTAAGAGTCTAGAGCGGAGGTTGCCAGAGAGTAACCAGAGGATCCACCTGAGGTTAGCATCAGCAGCAAGCCTCGTGAACAGGTCGGAACTGTGGACAGCTGAATCACTATTCAGATCTAGCGCTTCATCAGGAACGAAACGGTCCTCTTCCTGACTTGCTGGGACCCCCAGTCATCTTTTCTCCTGTGCACAAACTCTTGCGAGTTCAGCCAAAACTAACTAGCTGGTCAGTGAGCATCAGCAGCGCACCGTCGCAAGCTGCACAGCACAGCCTGGCACCTAGCCAGACAGCACGGATTGGACAGCAACAAGCCTGCACCTGCTTCTTTGTGCCCGCAGGAGATCTGAATCCACAGAGATTGGATGAGTATTCAACTTCAATGCATTACTGCTCGAGGATTCCATTGTTATCCCAACCAGTTGATATCAATTTAATTCCTAAGAGTTATGTACTTGTTTTGAGTATCTAATGTAGAAGTTGTAACCAAGTTCAATTACGAAATGGTCTAAATGAATGATATACTGAACGTATGTCCTCTTGATATATGTAACTCTTCGTAACTGACTGAATATATATCTTTTGTATTCTGATAACCCTCACGATAGGATCTGTTAGGTTTACATGCATATTCTATGTATTAATAAATGTATCCTCGTGTATTAGTACCTGTGTGTGTGCGTTGTTGGAGTTATATCGCATGGTTGGATTCTAAAGCCATTAAAAGAATCATTTTGTGATTTACTGCTACAATTAATAATTGTCCCAGTAAATGCCCAAACCCTACAGAACTGGTGCCTCGTGAGAGCACACTACAATTAAATTAACATTAAAATGTACATTAAATTAACATTAAAAAACAAAGATATCATGTCAGAGACCAATACAAAAAACATGCTAAAAAGGAATAAAACATTTAACTTTTTTTCCCTAACAAGTCAGTACTGATTCTGTTGGTAGTTTGTATGACTTCTATACCAATAAAGGCCACTTACCACAATCATATTGTTTTATGAATTACATTAAATGCAAATAAGCATCTGTCATAATAATACACCTATCAAACTATTTATAAATTGGGAAAACTTACAGCAAGATGTTAATTGTCTTTAGCACCATGGTAAAACAGTCTTTTGGTTTCATGATGAACACAAATATTACAGATCTACTTAAAAGACAAAAACAAAATGAAGATTAGCTTCTTCAGAATTTAATCCGTAATTTATGTTACACTAGTGTTGGTTGCTGTGCTCTTTCCTTAGTTCCTTAGAATGTTCTAACTGAACCCTTTCACTTTCACGGATGAATGAAGTTCAATGTCATTAAAAACTGCAAAACTAAATTACCTGTTAGAAGCACGTGTAGCAGAGATGATAACTGCAAGTCTTTTTGGACCAGTTTCTACTAACCTTGTTCGTTGTGATTGTGCAGTTTCACACATTCTTCGTTGCAAACATGCTCTGACATTTTTAAAAAATGCTACAGTTTTTCTGTTGAGTTCAGGAAAGTAAAGACATTTACTCTCTTCTCGTTAAGTCTCTTCCCTGTAGCTTTGGCTTTGTGCTTTGGTTCTTTGTCTCACAGAAAGGTGAATTTTCATCACAGTCTTTAGTTGTTCATTAAATCAAAGCAGGTTATCCTGATTTGCCACTACTCCATATTCCCTTTCATTTTGACAGTCCATACTAATGAGAAGCAGGTCCGTGCCATAATGCTGTCCCCATAGCATGACAGTGGGGATGTTATTGACTCTGCTGTGTTGGAATTGCGTCAACATTTTGATTTTTCTTGACGGTTTTTGCTGAAATTTAATTATTTTCACAAAATATAGTGTTTGAGCATTTGTTTTTATCAAATATATTTATTTATTCAACAAAATAAGAAACATTTATAATGCTAATAATGAGTCATTTTATTTAGAATACACAAGTCAAAGTATGCTGAAACAAAGATTTTGCTGACATAACATAAAAGTATGAAAAAAGTATTAATATCATTGTATCAGATGCAAAGGTAACTGAATTCAAGACCACTTACTGTTGATGGAACTGTCTTCTTCCCTTTTGTCATCAGCTGGTACCTACAGTAGGAAAAAGAAGGACTTGTAAATAAAACTGAAAAAGGTCAAGCAAAATGCTGAGTGTTTAGAAATCTTTGAATTAATTGCTTAATATAAGCAGATCAAAACAACAAAAAAAGATGTAATTGTACTGTATGTGCTATGCCTTGAAAGTATAATTCAATTCAATTTTTTTAATCATGGGAGAACTGCAAGCTTCTGTGTGCTAAGAACAATGCAGATGAGTATAGTTCAGACAGAATAAAAACTCATTGTTGATTTAAAGAAACTATAAATATTTCATGTAAATATTATACAGTATATTGCATTCATACTGACACAATGGGATACGTGTAAGCATGAAAGCAATTTTTAAATATTGCATTATTTTTGTTAGGTTTTTAAAATGTTAATTTTACACATTATATAAATCTGATTTATATATACTTTTGTTTTATTTTTACAGTTCCCTCTGGGTTTAGCACTCTGCAACTTCTTTTCTAATTCTTTATATCTCTCTAATTCTGTTCTACCAGAGTACTAGGTAAAGCATTTAATGATCAAAGATCAAAACACATAGAATAGCCTTGATCACACTTGACAATGCTTGAATATTTCATATATTGTACACATAACATGTCTTGTTATTGACATTTTATGTAACTATATATGTACAGTAGAAGTATTATATACTGTTTAATGCAAAAGTAAATGCAACCTTTTTTACAATGGGCAAGCTTACTCTGTAACACGTATCCTGTTTTAAACAGAACTATTTTTCCCAAACAAACTTTGGCAAGATTACCAAATACGATTTTTGTTCTTTTTTTGTATCAAATACAAGATCGAGTCATATAGGAACAAGGTTGTTTTTTTACATGCAGCTTTGTGATGTGTTACGTCATACTGTTTTCTGTAAGCTTATAAACTAAATTGGCACCAACATTTAGCAGTGACTATTCTCTCTCTAGAGAGAAGCTAGTGGCTTAAAATTGTTTGATATTTAGTTAAACAAGTTGGTTAACAACTTTAATAACAAAATTTTAAATGATCATATCACCATATTTAGTAGGCCGAGCTACTGCATGATTAGAGAATCTCCAACAAAGAGCACATTTTATTACATTTTGGGCCATTTCATAAGTAATTATTAATGAAACCTTTATGCATGGACCGCATGCATGCATTACAAATAATATTGATCTGTGGCTCATTAGGGTAGTACCAACAATATGTTATGTACAGTATGTATTTCTAAAAGTACAAGTTGGAACCATATGTACAGTATACAGTAAATACAGTACATCTCATACATACAGTATACATATATACATAATATAGGAACAAGAAATAGGTTTATTCCATGCTGAAAAGAGAAGAAATAAAACACAACATTTTGGCCTTGGAGTCTTCTTCAGGT